TCCTTTCTTTCGGTCTACAATGAAAAATCACCCTTTGCATCTTTTAGAAGGTTCCACAGAGTGGTTTTTACGTGTTTTCTGCTGTTTCTACTAAATGTAATGTGAGGGTTGGAGGTAGTGCTTAAAAGTTGGGCGTGTAATTGAAAAATGTGCAGAGGTGGTGGTTCTCTTAAGGAATGAAAAAAATAAAGAAAAACAAAGAAAAAATGAAAGCAAAAGAGAGTCACCACCAAAAATTCTGAATAGTGCCCATTAGCTAGTGTTTCTTAGCAGTCTTGCTAGGAAATGCTAACATTTATATAACCTCCTTCGCTCTTGTGCCTAAAGAAGTTGAGTAATGCAGAATAGCAGAATGAAAGTTACTGGTTTGCTTGACTGTGGTTTTGTTGGGTTTGAAAATGTGGAACCTTGTGCTAGAACTACCACCACCTAAAAGGCTTTTTCCCCATGTCCAAGACCCTAGCCAGTCATTTGAACCTGTGTCTAAGACCTCCAGATTAGTTAGTGGTGACACCCCCTTATGTGAACTCTAGCATTTAGAGGCTGCATTCATGGTAAAGAGACGTTAGGGATTGAGAGAATAAGCATGCGCATTTTTCGCATCAAATTGTCCTGACCCCACTGGTCGAGAGTGAGTGATTCATTTTCTCATATTCTCTATACTCTTTACCCTGGTGAGGACCTAGATTGCTCGGTCTTAATTCTGATATCTTGAGCTTTGTGCATGAAGTGACTGTTTTGAACAAGTGATTGAGTCAAGTCTATGTTGGTTGGTGAACGGGAGAGAACTCTTACTTTGCTCGGTTTTATTGCATTCGAATGTCATCTGTTGTGGTTGTCTAGGTTGTCGTTCGAGTTGCCATGTGTTGATGATCGAAAGCCAGTATGATCCACGTGTTTTGTGCCGATATGACATGCCATGTCTTGAGATTACCTGGTGTCTGACTTGGTTTGCATAGGGACAAGCAAACGGTTAAGTGTGGGGGAGTTAAAGGCGTCATCAACGAAAACACCGCCAAAACTCTTCTCGACAACCAAATCTCCTCTCCGGTCTTGATGTGCTTTACCTTCACCCCTTCTCTGGGCAAAATCGAGTTCAATTTCTTCCTCCACGCCTCCCCAGCATCGAATTCCCCCTTCTCCGCCTCCCGCAGGGAAATCTCCGATTGTGATAGGTGTTCGCGGAGCTCGGCTTCGTCGCGGTACTTGAACAGGAGGTCGTCGTGGATCAGGGAGTGCCGAGGGACGACGCAGAACAAGTGGATCAGGCTCTCTGCGTCGTCACCGACGTGCGCCCTGACGACGTCGCGGCCGGTGGAAGGATCGAAGATGGCGAGGTTGACGTAGGCGTTGGAGTAGGCGGAGTGGAAGAGGCCGCAGAGGCAGACGGCGTCTGGAGCCCCCCACAGCTTGAGGATGCGGTAGGTGTGGAGGAGGTGGTCGAGGAAGCTGCCGTGCTTGTGCCAGCACTCCCCTGCGCCGACGGAGCGCAGGACAGCGAGGGGTCGGGGCAGGTTCTCGTCCACCGATTCGAGCTCGCCGCGGAGGAATGGCCGTGCGGAGGCTAGAATCGACTGCAGCTGGTCGTCGGCTACAGGTGGAGCAGGGGCAACAAAGGTGGTAATTGAATCAGCATTTGTGGTGTTGTTTGGAGGCGGCGGCGGCATCTTTTCAGGGAGCAAGTACACGAGTGAAGAGCAGAGAGAGTTGCCGATCGGAGTGGAGAGTGTGGCGGTGGAAAAGATAAAGAGGAGAGGAAATATAGGTATAGGCTCAGCGCGGCGGGGGATTCCGTTCTCCATTTGTGTTGCTAAGATCGGAACAAAAGAGTACGAGTAACTGAACACGAAAAGACGAGAGAAAAGGAAAGGCGTTGACGTGGAGAGTACTTAGCTCGGCGGGGGATTCCGTTGTCCATATCTGCAAACATCTCACATCATACCAATCGTGTAAAATTCGTTTGTCTACCAATTCTCGACCTCGACGTTATTAGTTATTATGCCTGATTTTCGACATATGATGTCTAATGCATTACTCTTTTTTTTTTACAAAGGGCAAAGATTTTCCATTACTTGTGGCAAAAGCCAAGGGTTCCAGGAGGGGGCAACAACATCAAGAATCTGAATCCATTCATTAGGAAGTCAGCGAGGAAATGAGAACAGCGGCTTAAGCCATTAGGTGTAGGCGCTTTCCAGAGGTGGAAGATTGACGTTCTTCCTATTTGCAGTTCGCTTTGGAATTCCTTTTTTTGTTGATGTACTCAATCTTGAATAGCGGGTGGGTCGCGGAGATATTCTTGATGCGGCCGAGCCACGCTGCTGCTCGTCATGGCCAACTCTCAGCCGGGCTTCGAAGGGCCTTTACCAAGGAGAGGCAGTCTGTCTGGACAAGGCATGGCGAGGATAGTTCAACAGCCAAACGAGATCCCTCCCATAAATCCTTCGCTTCTACTTCAAGTGGGGAAAAACAACGCAGAGACTCAGCTCTCCCATCACAAACTTGACCATGGCTGTTCGTAACTACGACGTCATATGCCGCCTCCTGGGAATCGCTGAAGAACGATCCGTCACAGTGTATCTCAAAGTCATGAGTACTTGGCGGTGGCGGAGTAAGATCTCGGGGTGGAGTGTGCTGAGCTTGGGGATGTGAAATACCTTTCTTTCTAGGGCAAATGCTCCATTGGTGGTGCGCAATCTGGGCTCTGGAGATAGTGGATGGAGGCCATGGTGTTTTGTCTTTGAATATTCGATCATTTGTGGATTTCCATAGTGGATGGAGATAATGCGTTACTCTTAGGTTGTGGCATCTTGTGGCGACTTGCATCCGTCATGCTCTGTCGAAGGAGGGTACACGCTCATTGGCATTTGGCAGGGCTATCTTGCAGGAGAATTCTTTTTTTTTTTCTTCCTTTTTACGTACTAATTTGCGTCTTTATAGTGTTTATTTGAGTCTAGTGTCATGTCTTTTTGCTCCTTAAAATTTCAACGAAGTACTGCATTCAAATTACGACATTTGATTGTGATCGATGTTGTAATTGAGTTTTTTTTAGCTGGTATTAGAGAAAAAGAAAACCTAAGGAAAACTGAAATACTGAATATCCTACATGAATATACATGAGCATGTTCAAAATGCATGCAATACGCTTATTATTTGAAATGCATATGTGTATAACTCCCAGAGAGATCAGTACATCATTTCATCAAGCTCTCACAACGTCCACCGCCGTTCGTTCCTGAAACGAAAACCAGTCATGCATAAGGGAGCATTAGTCTGAGTGGCCCGTGGATATTACTAATTTGAACTGTGTTTGCTTATTCTCAGACAAACGGCGGACGAAATGGAGCATTTAATTAATTAAAAAAAGAAGCTCAAACTAATTGATTACGCGGAATATTTTGATTCTGCCGGAGGAGGCTGAACAGGTTACGGATGCAAAGCTGGTATTGGCCGGGCTATATTCGTTTTATCTTTCGATTTGTCTTAGAATGAATTGGATTGCAGAGGTTGTGGGTTTGTCGCCCACCCTCAACCAGTCAACCAGCTAGCTATTCGATCTCTCCGATGTGTGATATGACAAATTACTAAAACTTAATGTTGTCATGGCGTTAGGTTGGCATGACAAGATCTCATGGTGATATAGATATAACGATAATAAAAGACGAGGTTAGAATAATAGGTTCAGAGGTTTGAACAGAGAAGCCTCTAAGTGAAGCAAGTTCAAGAAAGCTATAAATGTAGGATTTGGGTTCAGTAACAGAGTGGTTATGAAACTTTATTTTTTATAAGTTTGTTACTGAAATTCTAACTAACTAAATTAATAATCTATCGGTTCTAATGATCTGTTGGGTTTTAATTGCCAAAATAAGCTAATTAACTCAACATAGTTAATTCAAGAAAAGGGCCGGGTTCACCTTAAATAATGTTATGTGGTTAAATGTTTTGTTTGAATAATGTTAATTATGCCATCTTTCTATATTAAAATTTATGTGCGTTAAAACATCGATTTGAACAAAATTTGCAATGAAAAATTCGAAGAATATGTACAAGGTAAATAGTGATGGCAATTTGAATCCGCCCCGCGGGTATTACCCGACCTGACCCGTGATGGGGCGGGTATTACCCGACCTGCACAAGTATGGGGCAGGGCATGGGTATCTACTTCCGATCCGCCCTGCCCCGCCCCGCCCCGTTTTTGGCTCATTCTACCTCAATTTCTTACAATATTTATGCATATTTCTCATATTTTGACTTTTCTTCAACTAGTTAGAGTCGATCTTTCAACTGGTTAGACTCAATTACCCATTCTATTATCACTATTTTTCATTTATTAAGTGTTTTATCCTTCGTTTTATCGTAAAAGGTAAAATTTGCGTGTGTTTTTTGAAATAACATGTGAGAGTGGGTCGACCCGCCCCGTCCCGTACTCGCGCGGGTTTTACCCGCCCTGACCCGTAATAACGTGGGGCAAGGCATGGGAATTGAGTTACCCGCCCCATTGCCATCCGTAAATGTTAAATGTGAATGATATTATTAACAAGGTTGTCTTTCTTGTATAAATTAAGTTCATTATTACTGGCTTTTTTTTTTGGTCAACAATTCATTACTGATCTTAGTACAGTAACAACCCTTTATGTAAACGACCCCCCACTCAAAAAAAAAAAAAAAAAAAAATTCCTTGTTGGTAAAGAAAAAACAAGAGGATTGTATTGGACTTATATATATGCATTTGGCGATTTGCATCCCCTTGTGCCGGCCTTGGTATATTACGCACTCGATCTCCAGCCATGCTATCCTCATCCCAAAGTTGCCGCACTTTGGAAAGAGCCCCCAAATTCTGCATGCAAAAAACAGGATCAAATACCGCGCGCGCGCGCATTCGTTTAATTTTCTTATAAAACCCGAGTTCGAAACTGACTTTAAGAACTCATCATCAAGCTTTCTCTTGTAGTTGTATATCTGTGAATATATCGTCTCGCTCGCCTTACAAACAAAGAACAATAATGTGCATAGCTGGTTTCCTGTGGCAAGGTCACCCGCTCTACCCTTTGCTGGTCTTGCACAACAGAGACGAATACCACAACAGGCAATATATACATTCAATACTTAGCTTCTTCATTGATTCCTCTACGTACATTAATACATATGCATGCAATGTAAATGTAATGTAACCAATTGCGTATACGACTCGCCCGCTCTCATCATGAGTTGGTCGAACCTAACCCTAATTTATGGATTACTATTGTAGGCCGACAAGAGCAGTGGAATGGTGGGGAGGGAGCGAGGAAATGGAGGATGTGCTAGGGGGAAGGGATGATGCGGCGGGAGGGACATGGCTGGCTTGTTCAAGAGGAGGCAAAGTCGCATTTCTCACCAATGTTTTGGAGCTCCATCCTGTCCCTAATGCCAAAACCCGTGGCGAGCTTCCTCTTCTTTTCCTCCACGTAAATTTGTGATTTGGCATCCGAACGAGTAAAATGTTGATGCGCAAAGTGTTAATCAAATTACGAACAAGCAGAGGAGTTTTCGAGAGAGATAAACTAAATATTATATATATTGAGAGTAGATTCATACATGTAATAGTTTGTTTGTTATTATATTATAGGATTTTCAGACTAGCTATTATTGCCTAAAAGTAAAACCATGACCTCCTCCTCTTCCTCATCATCTATGCACTAATTAACCCTAGCCAGTAAGCAGTCCCATCACCTTTACCCTTGTCCCTTTGTCCTATAACACCTTTCGTGGAAGGCAAGGCAGGTCCAATGTAACGTAGGTTATTAATTTTAAAAAGAATAAGCAAGAAAGTTAACACCGCGCGCCCGGCCGGGAAAAATGTAAGTGGTCGGTCGATCGCTGAATATATAGTTTGCTTATTAACAGAGCTGCAAGAGTCCAAGGGGGTTTGCTGAGGAACTGGTGAAGGAGGCTCACCACTACAATGGCTTCAACCTGATAATCTCAGACATTTCGTCGAACACCATGGTGTACGTCTCCAATCGGCCAAAAGGCGGCGCTGTGGTAGTCCAGGATGTTTCCCCAGGACTCCATGTCCTCACCAATGGGAAGCTCGACTCACCCTGGCCCAAGGTTTAATTTGTACTTTGTTTTGTCTCTCCTCTTCCATTTAACTCCATGGGGATTCACTGTGGAATCAATACCGTACCATTATCATTGCAGGCGCAGAAGCTTGAAATGGGTTTCAAAGAACAACTATTCAAGTGTGGAGAAGGGGAAGTTCGTCTGAAAGAGATGGCGAGGAAGCTAATGAGGGACAGAGTTCCAGCTTGCAACAACAGGCTGCCTGGCATTTGCGATGTAGAATGGGAGTTGGCTTTAAGCTCCATCTTTGTGGAAGTCAACACCCCAAAGGTAAAGTTGTGGGGATTTAATTAAGTCAGCAGACTGAATTTACAGTGATCAGAATTCACTAATTAATCAACTCATTATGTGTGGGTTTCAGGGATGGTGTGGCACCAGGAGCACTATTGCTTTGTCTGTGGGGAGAAATGGGGAAGTCACCTTTGACGAGACCTACCTTGAAGATGGAACTTGGAAGGAGAAAACCATCAATTACCGGATCTATAACCAGAAGCTCAAACAGCTGACCAGATGATCACTTCGCTGATTTTTACTACTAGACTAAATCAAATGAAAATTTTAAGGAATAATAAAATGACAGAATATCTCAACGCAAATGTTCATTTGGTCGGTTCGTAAATGTAAGGCTATCTGTTACACTCACAAGGAGTAATCATAATGTTCAAACATTTCATCTGAATAATATGCAAAGAAGTAACTTTTCATATCGATGTTGCCATTTGTACATGTTCATCAGAGTAGCAGGTGACGATATTGACAAAAATAGCACTGGTATAATTTATTTAAAAAACCGCGGACACTATGAAGTGTGAAGCTTATGGTCATGTTATAGAAAATAATTTCTGAGTTGTTTGGATATGTGTTATTTAGCTCCAAATATCATGTAATGCTAGAAATTGTGGACTGTGAAAAGAACATGGGTTGTACTTGTAGGTCGATCTCATGGCACTGGTCCTTTTCCCCATTTCGATCGACGACTAGAGAAAATCGATCGACTTGTCGAGTTCCGATGAACTTCCCTCCGGTCGTCCTTTTCTCTGGTTGCCCCTATGAGCAAAGCGATTTCGGACCTTTTGATTGATTGGGCAATAATGCATTTTGTCTCACAACTCACATGTACATAAATATCAACAATTATACGTACAATGAAAATGAATCCGTGACAGAGATTTTTGTCAAGTTCTGGTATGGTTTTTTTTTCCTTCGTATTTCAGGTATGTTTAATGAGAGTTGTGGTGTTGTTTCACATATTTTTGGTTTGCTTCATGATCTGCTTAAAGAAACTTGTGGTGAGTTTATGATTTTTCCGGTATACGCTATGTGAGTAGTGTTGTGAGATTTGTACTATTTGTCGTGCCCTTTTCTACATTTTTGTCTACTTTGTGGTGTGGTTTGTCGTGTTTCTGGTCTACTCTTGGGTTTTTTTTTTTTGTTTGTTTCATAAGAGTTGTGGTCAACTTTATGAGTTTTCTTGTATTGTTCAGAAGACTTGTGATCTCGAGTTTTCTGATATGCTTCATGAGTTTTGTGGTGTGGTGAGCTTCTGATATGCTTTATGAGCTTTTCTAGTCTAGATGTTATATTTTTTGTGGTGAGGTTGGTCATGTTTATAGTCCAAATTTGCTAGTCCGCACTCGTGATCCGATCCCCTTAAAAATTTTCAAAAATGATAAGCGTCCTTCTCTATTAAAAATCGGCATTTGTTGTGATCCACCCCTTCAACATAAAAAAAGAAAAATCAGCAAAAAAAATATATATCTGGAGTGTGTTAGCAGTAGTATATTACCAAATTAGATGTTAACAATGGCGCTCCCGTTTATTCTGAGACCAACGGCGGACGAACTGAAGCAAAGCTTTAATTTCTTTCGCTCAAGGCTAGGCGCTCACGTTTTTCGCCTGGATCGGAGCAGTACTACTTCATTAATTAACTAATTAAGTAGAAAAGTAGCAGAAGAAACTAATTAATCACGCCAGTCAGTCAAACAGAATCTTATGTTTCTGCCGGAGAGACACAGATTGTATTGGACTTATGCACTTGGCGATTTGCATCCCACCTTTAGCGCTCCATTTCGCCTGTCTTTGTACTCTCCAGCCATGAATTCAGGAGTATTGAAGCTGGGAAACCCCGATTGGATCGCTGCATCAGCTGTCTTTCAAGTCCCAACTCGCAACCCACCCCCTTTGCTTCATCATCCACTTCCTTACTTCTGTATAGAGAGGAAGCCATCAACATAAAAAGATCTACTGATCGACCTCTGCCTTCTCCCATTGACACCTCTGGTATCGTCTCCTTATTGGCTTGGTGTATAGCATAATAGAATTATGAACTTCTTATCTTAGCCAAGAATGTTTTATTTATTGAAAACAAGTCTTTCAGAACTAGTCAAGTCCCGAGCTCGATCCTACGCCCGACATGTCCCAGTATAGCACCAAGAAGCTAGAGCCTCCTCGTCTCATTAGTATTTAGCTACTTTCGATTAACATTGTCTCCTGCGCAGATGCATGCATTGAGACACTATTTTTTTTTTTAATATATTCATCAATTGGATAGCAATTATACTTTCCCCACCAACCAATGATAATGAAAATTGTTCACGTCAATAGGCTACAACTGGCAATCCACACACGATCAATGTTCTTCACGGCCACGACGATCAACAAACTGTCCATCAAGTTATTTCCGAAACCATAATACATGCCATAACAAACTAGTAATTTCACAAATAAGCTCACTGAACCTCACCACATACAACATTTCACTTTCTTTTCTTTTCTTTTCTTTATCTTTTCTTTATATTTTGTTTCAATTTCTAGATTTTTCCTTAATATTATAACTTTCATTTCATAATTATTTTCCTTCTTGAATTATTGCAAACTTAACTTACCAAAGGCCAGAAACTATCACATTTTGGGTTCACCAGCCACCAGGCGCCGGGATGATACTACGGCGAGAAATTTCACGTCTACCTGACGAGGCCCAAACTGGAGACGCCCCAAGCGGTGTTGGGCCAGAACTTCTCTTTAGCCTTCATCAGCAGAATCCTGGCCCAAGCAACCCAGCCTTCCCAAGACACCCGCTTATCCCACGCGCTCCCCCACTCCAAAATCAGCCTCAGCCCAATCGCCGCTTCCCTCTCCGCCTCCTCGAACCTTCCTCCACTCAGATAAACCTGCGCCAGCACCACGCGCGGCTCCCCTACCACACCATTTTTCTCCACGCTCCTCACCAGCAACTCCTCCGCCTGCTTCAACTCCGACGACCCCGATCCCTTGCCGGCGATCGCCTCCCAGTACAGCTCCCGCGCCTCCATCTGCTCCTTCGTCCCCACTACCTTCGTACATCTCTCCAGCACCGGCGGCACCACCAGCTCCACCTCCATCTCCGTCGTCGCATCATCCGAAACCCTAATTCCCATCTCCTTCTCGACAATCTCCTCCTCCCTCACAATCAACGAGTAAACAGCGCCCATCCTCGAGACCGAGTTGATCCACAGCCCAGGCATGCCGTCTCCTGGCCACAGAGCTAGGTAATTGTCCCCGGAGAACTCCAACCTCCCGTCGGAGTTTTCGAACATCGCATCCTGAAATCCGTACAATTGATCGCTGAAATCGGCCATCGTCATCAACAAAAACACCGCCAAAACTCTTCTCGACAACCGAATCTCCTCTCCGGTCTTGATGTGCTTTACCTTCACCCCTTCTCTGGGCAAAATCGAGTTCAATTTCTTCCTCCACGCCTCCCCAGCATCGAATTCCCCCTTCTCCTTCTTCGCCTTCCGCAGGGAAATCTCCGATTGCGATAGATGCTCGCGGAGCTCGGCTTCGTCGCGGTACTTGAACAGGAGGTCGTCGTGGATCAGGGAGTGCCGGGGGACGACGCAGAACAAGTGGATCAGGCTCTCTGCGTCGTCGCCGACGTGCGCCCTGACGACGTCGCGGCCGGTGGAAGGGTCGAAGATGGCGAGGTTGACGTAGGCGTTGGAGTAGGCGGAGTGGAAGAGGCCGCAGAGGCAGACGGCGTCTGGAGCCCCCCACAGCTTGAGGATGCGGTAGGTGTGGAGGAGGTGGTCGAGGAAGCTGCCGTGCTTGTGCCAGCACTCCCCTGCGCCGACGGAGCGCAGGACGGCGAGGAGCCGGGGCAGGTTCTCGTCCACCGATTCGAGCTCGCCGCGGAGGAATGGCCGAGCGGAGGCTAGAATCGACTGCAGCTGGTCATCGGCGACGGGTGGAGGAGGAGCTGCGGAGGTGGTGGTAATCGAATCATCATTTGTAGTGTTGTTTGGAGGCTGCGGTGGCGGCATCTTTTCAGGGATCGAGTACACGACGGAGGAGCAGAGGGAGTTGCCGATCAGAGTGGAGATCACGGTGGCGGTGGAAAAGAAAGGCGCAACAAGGAAATATAGGTAAGAGACTGAGCGCGAGCGCGAGCGCGGCGGGGGATTCCGTTCTCCATTTGAGTTGTTAAGATGGGGACACCAGAAGAAACAAAAGAGTACCGAGTAAGTGATCACGAAAAGACGAGAGAAAAGGCGTTCACGTGGAGAGCAGATTACTTAGCTCGGTGGGGGATTCCGTTGTCCATATCTTCAAACATCTCACATCATCCCAATCGTCTAAAGTCCGTTGTCTCGACGTCCTGCTTTTATCTATTATATTGCTCAATGATAGTTCTCCACTCCACCAATGTAATTTGCGTGAAGAGATGAAGATAAAGTAAGAAAGTGGGAGTTGTCTATTTGGTGATAAAACACACACTTTCATCAATAGTTTGTTTGATTGCATACCAACTACAACATTTAATTGCAGTCGATATTGTAATTGAGTTTTTATACTAGGGCCTAAACTGATTGTAGAGAGAAGAAAAAAAACTGACGACACATAGCTGAAATGCATGCATAATCAAGTTCGAAATGCATATATATATATATATATTACTCCCAGAGAGATCAGTACATCATTTCAACAAGCTTTCACTGTTCTAGCTAGAGTTGTCTGCGAATCGTCTCTCCTTGCGAACAATGTGCATTTATAGAGATGAATACCCTTTGCTGGTCTTGCACAACAGAGATGAATACCACAACAGGCAGGCAACCATTGATTCATTACTTAATTAGCTTCTTTACATGCATGTAATCATGTAACCATACCAACAAGCTCTAATGAGTTTGCCGATTCGAGTTTAACTAATTTATGGATGATTGTAGTGTAGGCCTACGAGAGCAGTGGAATGGTGGTTAGGGAGCGAGGAAATGGATCATGTGCTAGGGGGGAAGGGACATGGCTGGCTTGTTCAAGAGGAGGCGAAGTCGCATTTCTCACAAATGTTTTGGAGCTTCATCCTGTCCATAATGCCAAAACCCGTGGAGAGCTTCCTCTTCTTTTCCTCCAGGCAAGGTAAAGTTGATTTAGCGTCCGAACAAGTGAAATGTTTTAGTAATGTGTAATCAAATTAAGAAGAATTAGATAGATTTTTGAAAGAATAAAACTTATGCCAAAACGAAACGTGGCGAGCTTGTTATTCTTTTGCTTCAGGTAATGATACAGACAAGGCATCATGGCCATTCGGGAATTTCTGAACTTGCTAATCATTTCTATTTTGTTAATTGGTTTGTGTCTCTTCCCATTATTATTATTGTTATTAGTACTAGTATGATTTGGATTGTTTTTTAGTATACGTTTTGTAATTTAATTATTGTTTTCTCGAAATAAGCTTAATATTTTGGGTAGTAAAAGGGTGAGAGGCCGACGCCCTAGGAGGAGAAGGATTGTGATTCTCGAGTTTTCATTGCTTATACATATACTCATTCTTAATTTAATGTCATGGGAAGATTGAAAATCAAATAATTGTTTATTTTCTTTCTTTGTAGCATCTTTTGATGGCAAAAGCAAGAATATAGATGTGTGTTTCCACGTTCTTAGAGATTTGGCAAAATAAGATGTGATTGAACTTATTGTGGATTGTGGAACAAGTGGCTGATGTCATGACCAAAGCTCTCAAGCTTGATACCTTTGAGCTAATGAGAACTAAGTTGGGAGTAATTGAAGTCACGAAGGGAAATTCTGCATAGAAGTGACTGAAGGAGAGGTGAACTGAAGCCCGATGACATGTTTTACTTTAGGGGAGGATTGTTCGAATTAAATATTGATCGTCGACAACAATGGAGAAAAGACGTAGAACAATATAAGTTTACTATAAAGTGAAACTGTGTAGCGTTGGTATTTTTTCCAGTTTAGTCCTTTGATTCAGTTTTATGTTGATTGATTCATCTGAGTTTGCAGGTTAGTTGGAAACTTGAGAGTCGAAGCAATTGCCTCAATTAAACTCTCACATTACTGTTTTGTAGAAACGACCAAATCTGTCTTACCATTATTACTTTGAAAGCCCTTTTTGATAATTTCCTGGGCCGTATTTCATTGAACTCGGATAAATTTTTGTTTGCCCAAGCCCAAATAGGCAGATATCCATACCAGAGCCCAAAATTGAAATTCAGGGGAAAATGGAAGGTTGGAAAACTAAACAAGCAAAATCAGATAGAAACCTCGGGAAAACCAGGGGAGGACAGCCAGGAACAGGAAAGAAGGCCGAGAGCATCAGGAAGCTGGGAAATCCCGATTGGATCGCTGCATCAGCTGTCTTTCAAGTCCCAACTCGCAACCCACCCCGTTTGCTTCATCATCCACTTCCTTACTTCTGTATAGAGAGGAAGCTATCAACATAAAAAGATCTACTGATCGAGCTCTGCCTTCTCCGATTGACACCTCTGGTATCGTCTCCTTCTCTGATTTCCATGGATTAATATTGAAATCGGTAGTGGTTGATGGGTTTTCCTTGGTGAAAGAAGGAACGATTTGTCCGTCACCTACGCCTTCCTAAATCATACCTGCTCATCGTTTCTAACTGAAAAATTGAAGCTTTTTTTGCATATTATTCTTTTCTACCTGCTTCCTGCTTCTAGTCTTTAAATTCTTTCATAGTGTTGATTCCTCAGATGGGTGATTGCATTTACTTTTGCTTGACCTTCAAGTTTCTTCATTTCCTTCTGCTTAATGGGTATGTTCTCTTAGGTGGTGTTCATGTGTCATTAGAACTTGGTTGACCTTATACCCGTTGGTGGGGCGATGCTTTCTAAATCTTCTCTTTCAATTATAGCTCGCAAACTATGCTATCGAATCACTTACCGATGGGAATTGTATCAGTTCCTAGGAGCCCACATGGAGATCATGGATGATGCGGCCTAAATGGAAGCTGGTACAGAAGGTTTGCAAATCTTATCTATCTTTGCTGGTGATTGAGAAACAAAGCACAAATGACTCGGCCTAAAATCTCCCACCGTCCAAGCATATGCTTCAGACCTATACTACCCTCTGATTTGACGATTTTAGAGCAACTGCACACTGAAGTATTTCCTATTAGGTGAGTAGCTTTACCCTTAAGTTCCACTGTTAACTTTTTGCCTCTGTTCTTCCAACCGAACTTCGTACTAATCAGAATGTTTTGTCTTTCTTTAGGTATGAGCCCGAGTTTTTCCAACATGTTGTCAGTGGAAATGATATTGTGTCCTGGGCAGCCATTGACCGCGGGCGGCCCAATGGTAATGGTGATGAACTAATAGGATTTGTTACTGCAAGGATAGTGCTGGCCAAAGAAAGCGAGGTGGGTCTTCTACCTCCTTGAGGCTTTGAGGGTATGTCTTTTGTGTCAGCGTGATTGATGGATGCACTGATTTGTTACTGTTTTCTTTTCGCCATGTATTTGGTTAGCATTTTGTAAATTATAACTCAGTGTAACTGTACATGTCTTACACATATCTGGGGGATGAAAATGGTCTAGATAAGTGATTTGTTTTCATGCTGGTGTTGGATATCAAAAGATATTTTGGCTTCTTGGAATGCCTTCACTTTTCTTACTTCAAAAGGTGTTAGGACCTGGATTTTCCATGGACCTAATCAATTCACTTGAACTACAACTCTAATCTATATTTTTGTATAAATAAATGAAAAACGTTGTTAGGGATACAGAACTCCGTCAAAGGTTTGTTTCCTTCATCAACTTGTTTATCTTGAAGTGCGAAATTGTCTTTAATTGCTTAACTATTTTGACTTTTTGAGCTTGGAATTCAAAAATTTCATGCAGATCGGAGATTTACTTAGATATGACCCCTCTAGACCTGATCAAACATTACTCTATATTTTGACGCTTGGAGTAGTGGATACCTACAGGAATCTTGGCGTAGGTAGGAACTATCTTTCTTTCTCTCTCTATATGTACAGTGTACCACACATATGTCCTGAAATAAAGGCCAGGCAGCAGGATATGCGGGGGTGTGCAGTGTATCTATCTGCTTTTCTTTTCTCTAAATATGAAATATGCTGATGCATTCTGTCCTGCATATGAACCACTTCATTTTAATTATGTTGCAGCATCTTCTCTTATCCGTGAGGTCATTCGATATGCTTCAAGTGTTCGAACATGCCGTGCAGTTTACTTGCACGTTATTTCGTACAACATTGCTGCAATCCAGTTGTATAAAAAAATGTCATTCAGGTGTATACGAAGGTTGCAAGGCTTTTATTTCATCAACGGCCAACACTATGATTCTTACTTGTTCGTTTACTACGTGAACGGCGGTCGTTCTCCATGCTCGCCATTGTAAGTAGAGCGCATATTTCTTTTTCGTCCCTTAGATATGTGGTTGTACGTTGTGGACTAACAAAAGTTACATTTTTGTTATGCACATTCCTACTTGATCCCCTCTTTGCTGCTGAACGACTGCTTCTTTTCCCAATCTGGGTCTTTTCATGTTAGAAAGAGTGAAGGATAAGAAAGGGACAAGATTTCCTTTTAAGTACTTTTGGTGGCTGTCCAAAACAAGTGTGATCACTGCAATTTTGCTTCCCCATTCATTGTGTTAACTGGTTATGCTTGTGAAACCTAGTATCTTTACCAAGTACTATAAGATACTCCTCATAGATATTATTGGTTCTCATAGATATGATTGTTGTCGGGTCGGCTAGGTAATGATGGTGGGCAGTTGTGAAAATTATCCTCTCGCCAAGGGTACTTATGGAACGCAATGCACAGACTCTCTGTTAAATAGTTATTATAGACAGTGATCTTCTCTATAACTCCTTGTACTGGAAGTTAAACTTAAACACAGGCGATCTATTGTTTGTTTGAGCTGTGGTGGTCTGGGTTTCTCCTTTTACAAGTATGTGATCCTATGTCAGATGGCTACTGTTGTCTTGTTTGATTTAATCATATCCCTTGTAAGCCTGTAATGTTTGCATGGCAGGTGAAACTGTTGTTGTCGATACCATAAACGCATATTTGATGTTGCTGTGGTTTAACTGGTCACCTAGATGATCTTTCTGTTGCCAACCTCTATTGTATACGTTAGGCCTTAGATAACATTTTCTTTTCCACCGTCTTTTCTCCAAGTGTAACCATTAGAGGCAGGGGGCTGATGTGAACATTTCCTGCTGCAGAGAGCTTGCTGCGGCCGTATTGGCGTACATGAGGAGTGGTCTGAAGTCCATGGCATCCCGGCTAAGGAAGAAAGACGACGACTTGGTGAAATGGCCCAAATGCAAGGAAGCACATTCACTTGTATCAACGCAAAGTAAGAAAAATCTGACTGCAGAATGTGGCGGATATGAATGTGTATAATAAGCTATTGCTTTGAGCTTTTGCTTTGTAGTATCGTGATATGTTTACAGAACCGGTGGCTGAACATAAATTGCTTGCATGAGCCAAGCTAGATATGCATTATTGTAGAAAGGTTAGGGTTTTTACTAATTTAATCGGACATGTGAGAGACTAGAATACTAATTACGTTTCTTCAAATAAATTTTCTGCTTTGTGACATGGCTCATTGAATCACATGTCCATCAACAATACAAGTCATTTGGAGTGGAATCCACCTTATTGTGCAATTTGGAGTCGGTACTAAGAGTTCGTACTCGTGCACATCTTGTCATTATGACACAATTAAGCGGTTTATGTGTCTATATGGCTAAACCAATCATTGAATCACATGTCCATAAACATTACAAGCTCCATTCCACTTTCACTCGCTTGGCCGTCGACGACGCTCTCTTGCCAAACCTATCTTCGGCTGGTGAGGTGCACGTCGGCGCTGGAGTTGGATGTCATGGAAAGAAGTATTTTCCCCCATCATTATAAGAACAACCGGATCACAGTCGAACCAGTAGGACTATCAAACTAGTTACAATAACAGTTCGGTTCATTTGATTTGTCAATTCGTTGTTCGGAAACATAATCCGAGCCATCGGCGTCAGTTAACTCTCAATCCCTTCTTAGGTTGCATGTGTCCATATAACATGGTGAGATCCTGTGCGTCCATATAACATTGTGGCCTTATCTTGTCATTTCGGCCACTATAATTGAGGATAAACGGATAAAGACACCATATAAACAAGAAAAACACAAAACAAATACATATTTCGGGAAGAGTAAGCGCCAATTATGTGGGCCGCTTATTGGTCCAAGCAAGGTCAATAATGAGGCATGCCGGCCCAGCGCCAGGTCCAATGTTACCTGGTATTATTAAACTATTAATCATGGACGGAAAAGCAGGTAGTTTGATAACTTTTTAGGTTAACAAAGCAAGACTAATTAATAATGGATCGCTTTGGGAAATAGCAATAAACAATAATTAACACGGAATTTGCAGTTAGGGTTAAAAAGGATGGGACACTTTAAAAAAGAAGAAACGTACACAGATGGACATATATTCTTCTATAGTACCTCTGTACTTTCCTCAGCTGTGGTGATAACGGCATCTCTCTCAAATCAAATCACACGGAATCAGGAAAGGACTCTTCCCTCTTCCCCTACTTTCAGTGCATTTCCCGCCACCGCATCCATTCCTTCCAGATTTCCGCATCCAAAGTCCAAATAAATGAACTGCCTGAGCTCAGATCTTAAAAGCCAAGCACCAGGGAAGTGTTTGCTTTTGTGCTGATGAACTTTAATAGTTTACAATGCTTCAAATATATAGTTGGATAACCAAGTAGACAGCTAAAGAAAGGATTACAATGTTAGGTTTCCTTGCAGAATGAAATAGTTTTGATAAGCAGCTGGATATTGAATTCAACCTGCAGACTCTGTTAGTTACCTAGTATGTACATATCGACAAACCGCAACTTGTCTCTGTAATCGGAGTAGGACGTGCAGCCTCAGTTCCGTCATCCACAACAAACGCAATCACCCAACTAGCCAATCTTCATCAGTTAGGTCAAATCAGAGAACCAACACCCACAAGACTTTGGTCTCACAACTCGGTGGGTGTATATAGGGCGATCCTTCCTGATGGCTTATCGTCTTAGCATTAGGCTCTTCCAATCAGGCTATCAACTGTGGATGATTCTTCTCGACGCGGCTATCACTCGACCATAATCCCAAATTCCTTTCCCTGTTATGTTTTCATCACATTCAAAATAAGGAGTTATCAGGCCCATACGAAATCACAATTAGCTTCCATCATATTCTACCATAGCTCTACCTTGTCAAAAAATATTCTACCATAGATGAATGTGAAACCTATCATCAATAGGGAAGCATTTTGTTTACCTCTCCTATGAAAACCCGATCGGATTCCCCGCCATTGAAAATCAAGTACGGCTCCTGTTTCTAGCTCATCTTAGAGAAATCAACTGCACAATAAAGAGAGATGCAATTCCAAAAAAAAGCCGATATTGTTATTCCAGTCATAGATCCGTAGAAAGAAAGTTCAACATGAAGCTTTTCACTAAAAAAATTAGTATAAATCCATACGATGTCCAGTTCTTAACTTAGAATAAGGTAATATTACTCAAAGCAACAATATAAACAGTAAACGAGTTAAGAAAAGGTGAAACTTGACGAAGGAAAATCGGTAACAATTACGCTCGAATGTAGAGGTCGTATTCTCTCACTTCGTTTGATCAACTTGTTTGATAAAGTCCTGTGCAAAAACTAAAAAGCAAAACACAAGTACCTTTCAACAAAAGATGTACGTAGTAGGTAGTAGGAGAAGTATATACGTAGTTTACGAATCAATTGCTACGCTGGGTCTCAAAACTGTAGAACAGAATGTCCCAGATCCACAAGCATCAGAAATTAACCTTTCTTGCCTTAAGGCTATGGACTCATTGATTCATAAAGAATCCAGGCTATATTTGATAAACCAAGGACCACACTAATCCCACTCCAGATTTCAACCTCGAATATATATATGATGCTGATTAATTCCTCTGCTGCTTTAGCCTAGCTTCAACCCCCAATATATTAAGAATACAGACGTCACCGGAGAACCAAGAGAAGTCTACTTTCTATCATCTAATTACTATGTATATCATCTACTTGGTTCAGCTACTGGTCCTCCAACTAGATGTGAACACTTCCTGAATGGTACAGCAGATGTAAGATCTCGTACTTGTTTGTTCGTGGACCAGTACCCTTACCTCTAGGTAAACAAATTCAGGAACACATGAACCCCTAATAGGGTTACCTAGCTAGAGAGAGAATAGAAAATACTTGTGCATAATTCAAAAGGAGCATTGTAAGGTACAAATGTACAGCCATCCCTATTAGGACGGGTGTATGGCAATTTTGGAAACTGGACCATATGTTTTTATCAAAACAATTGTCCTTTTATCCTGTTTATATTTTCTCACGCACTACTGTATGGCTTGGTTCAGTAAAAACAATTAATGTAGATGCTGACTAATTTGTATGCCTTATCGATGCATGCTGATCTAGTTTTCTCTCCAAACAACCTAAAACTAGTAGTGAATCAATGGAGGTGAAATTGGGAATTTATTCAACCAACCAACCAATCACAAAACTATAATTAACATGCCATAGAGTTGTCATTTGAACTAAATTTCGAAGACGAACCATACACAGGGAACTTACTAAGGAAATATAAGACCACCAGTCAAGTAATGGATACCAGATCTGATCTGTGCTCATCGCCAATTTGGCCTGCACTAACCAGAAGAGAAATGATCAGTCTGATATATCTCGGATCAGGTATTTACAGATTCGCTTAGATTCACTTCAATCATTTTAACAAGTGAGTTTTAGTAAAATTGATCAGTTACTAATAAGCGAAGAGACATTCAGTAACCAACTTTGTAATTGATACATAATCTAGTCAACAAAATAATTGGTTAAACTGCAACACTGGAGTGAAAAAGGTTAGACCTTACTCGATAATCTCCGTGCCAACCCCTATATCCCCTAGGCTCCTGTTTAATGCCCTAGTACATATATGCTGAAAGCAAATCTTCAGCTCAATGCTAACTATCAAAATAGCAACAGGCAAAGTAAATTTTCCAAATCTTTTGAGTCCTATCATCCCTCAACCGCTTTTCTAATACATGTTATCGGTTTTAGGAAGCATCTAGGACAAAGAGCACATTTATATATAATAAAGTCATACCGAAATCTGGAAATTATCAATTACCACAATATAAGTTATTTTTTGCTTTTCTTTTCGTGGCTAGGACTCTCCACAGAAACTAAGGTAAACCCATGACCGCCTGCTCAACAATGACGACTGGTGATTCAATGCAACTAGCCTGGCCAGTACCTCGATCTCGTACGTAGATGATATTCTCCGCGACATAATGAGACCCGTATACCAGTAATCTCTCTATCCAAAAGCAGATGCCTACACCAGTTATTGCGCTTCTTAGTTTCTTCAATCTGAAACGGTACAAATACGAACACCAGGTGTTACGAAAAACTCATACAGTTTGACATTAAGAAAAAAAGAACTGGTCCTTTCATGGCGTAAACAATTAGAGACTGAAATCTATGACAAGTCTGAAAGTTTATGCAATTAAGCACACATATTCCCCACCGCAAATAATTTCAAAGAATCCAGCCTACTACTAATAACACATAGGCTGTATGTATCTTAGCAACTAGGATCTAGCTGGCGATGGAATTGATTAAGGAACCTGTGTTTGCATAAAGCATAAATATGTGTATGGAAGTCAAAAAAACAAGCAAATGATGAATCCATTGTCAGAAGAAAACGACCTACCCCTCCAAAGTGGAGCCAGGCTCATTACTGCCATGTCCCGAGGACCTGCAGGAAGATGAAGCTCATACTATAGAAAAGCTTGTAAGGTTATGAAAGAGTGCACGAAAACTTCAAGACAGTCTGAAAAAAAAAGTAAATAATTAACTCCATAAAATAATGGCAAAGAAGATTTGCAAACCTGAAGAAGAAACACCTGTGATTAAGGGATTCTTTCTTTCATTCTTCTCAAAAGCACGACATAGTTAAAGTATAAGGAAGCAACTGTTAGCACGAAACAAAGAGATTTAAACTGAGTTTTATGTGTATAGTAAAACCACCCAGCCACTAGATGGTCTAGATATAGGTGGTGGCATTAACCGAGCAGTAGTCGCATGCGCATGAACACAAATTCAAAGACGACTTGACTGACCGATCACTGCCCCAAAATGCAAAGCTTTAACGGGGTGAAAAAACACACACAACTGGGAAGGAAGGACCATACTAGTTAGCTAGAAAGAAAGAAAACCCATCCATCACAACCATTAATAAGCTAGGTTTACGTGAATGGTCCCATGTTGGTTGGGTACAGTGAATTTGCCCCCGCCCGCTAATCTGCACAGTAATAATAATCTCGCCCTTGTTCCCTACAAATAAACACCATCAAAAGCATCGCCGGGCACAGTAAAAACCCATAGATTTATATTTATTAGTTAGTACTTAGTTTTATAATAACCCACAACCAACCGGGTGTAAGCAAGCAAGCAAGCACCAAAAACGCGACAATTAGAGCTGAAAGTACAAGAGAGATTCAGAGAGTGGGATCTGCAGG